TAACGTTCAGCCATTTGGTCGATATTCACTGAGCTCGAGCAAAGCTCGGGAAGTCATTTGATAACAATTTGCCCAACAAACCTCCACCTTAGTGTCAAAAGACCTACGAAGAAAACATTATCATTTGTTAGTAATACTTCCAATATAGGGAACCGATAAAATTGGAAATTAGTTACCTTCACCAATGTTTAGAAGATTTTTGCAACTTCTAAACTTCTCCAACGACAACACTTTAGTGCCGATGTTCGAAGGATTATACTGAGTATATATCTTTTCAAGTCTTACTACTTCTTGTGACATAATATCTCTAATAAAGTATAGTCTAACATCAATGTGTTTGGTGCGTTCGTGAAAAATAAGATTTTTGTATAGATATATGGAAGATTGACTATCTGAATATAACACCACATAATCATTCAAAACAAAAAGTTGATGAAGCAAACCTATAAGTCACAAAGTTTCTTTAATTTCTTCAGTGGTGGCAATATATTTTCAACTAATGCAAGAGTTCGATAAAGTAAACATGTAGGACGAAGTGGATTTTCTATTATCTCTATCCTCCGCATAATCCGCATCCACTAAATCTTTCAATTTCACACCTTCTTTATTAGTACTAAACTTTAGACCTACATTACTAGTTTCCTTTAAATATCTCAACACCATTTTAAGGCTTCCCAATGCTCGGGATCCGGATTAGACATGTACCTACTAAGAGTACTAACTATAAAGGCTAAATCAGATCTGGTGCATACCATCAAATACATAATAGATCCAATCAATTAGGTTATAGAATCCTACTCATGTATTCTATTTCATTTTCATTACATGGAGCCCAATCTTTAAATAATACAAAATGAAGCGGTAATGTAACACGTTCCACTCATGCATATCAAATCTTTCCAACACTTTTGAAAGATAAGATGACTGATGCAGAAATAAAGCAAAATTTGACCTATCTCTTTCAATTTTTATACCTATGATTTTCTTTATTTTACCTAGATCTTTCATGTCAAATTCACCATTCAACTTTGTTTTTATTTTACTTATCCATTTTAGTGATATATAAATTAAGAGCATATCATCCACATGCAACAATAAAAACACATATTTATTGTTGGCATCATCATATTAAAAATATAGGTAATGATCAAATTTACTCATTTGAAATCTTATAGTGAGTACAAAATAATCAGATCTTTCATACCACTATCTAAGTGATTGTTTTAAGTCATACAAGGATTTTCTCAAAAAACACACATGATCAGGTTTTAGTTTATGTTTAAAACCTTTTAGTTGATTTATAAAGATTTGCTCATCAAGTTCACCGTACAAAAAGGTAATTTTTACATCACGTTGTTCAAGTTTCCAATCAAAATGTGCAACTAATGTAAGCATAACCCTAATAGTAATATACTTAATCAA